GTGTGATTTGGAGACGCATGAATGAAGGAGAAGAATACGTGATCAATGAAGGAGAAGAAGACGTGAAAACGTGAAGATAAACATGGTTAATTAAAATAAAATAAAAATTATAAAAATTACTTAATTACATTACTGCCCTTATTAAATTATTTATATATAATAAAAGTTAATTTATTAATTAAAAAAGTTTGTGGTTATTAAGTTGTTCTCGCGTTTTCGTAAATCACAGGGATTCTCGTTTGAACCTCCACCTATATATATATATATATATATATATATATAATTAGTTATTCTAAAATAAATAAAACTGATTGGGTTTGTTCATGTAGCATTCTCAAATTAACAAAAAGTTGGGTTGGGTCGTAGACTTGCGAACCGTGGCCCTAAAAGCAAAATTAAAGAGTGGTCCTTTTTGGCCCAATGGGCATTGTTTCAAAGGTAAAGTTGTTCTTTTTTCATCTCTTTTATTTAATACAACTCATAGCTTATTCAGTGAAGGAACCATTTACTAAACACTTACCTGGTAAGCGTTTACTAATAAAATTTAACACTATCATTTACTTACCGGATAAGATTTTAGTTCACCAAAACGACATTGTATGCAACAATTTACCCAGTAAGCACTTACAGTGGTAAGAGTCGTCGCCTTCACTTACCGGGTAAGATCAAGGTCCTTGTCTCGCTCTTACTAGGTAAGATTCTTGGTTCTTACCATATTCATTCGGCAAGGTAATGTAACTTGGTAAGCACTTACCTGGGTAAACGTTTAGTAAACGACCCCTAAGTATAACATGTTTCATTGGTGGAAACCGTAGTGATGATATGCACTCTGGGGGTATTTCACCAGCGGTTGAAATCGCGAGGTCTTTATTCACCATAGCATTGATAGAGATCTTTGATGGAGAGTTTGCCCAAAGGCTTTCGGGGTAGCATTTTACCGATTCAATCGACAACGAAGTATGAAACAAAAACATTTCCGTCATCAGCGTCTGAGTTATTAGTTTCTTCGTCACCAGGGCCATAATTGTCCCCCTTGAAGCAGCACATGTTGATTGAGATCGGGCTTCTTCCCGTAGGTAAACAAGGCAAGGCATTCAGTTGCAAGAGCAAAAACAATAAAGCCGACACCTTCAGTCGACCTAGTTAATTAAGAATCATAGCCGGTTCAAGCAAATCAGATTCAAGACGCAAAATAGAGTTTCTTAATAACCAACATCCTCCTCACAGTACACAGTACGTTCGAAAGTAAGTCTTTTAAAGCATGGATAAAAATAAAATACACTTTATTCTAATACAATATGCTTTTATCTTAGATGTCGTTTATGTAACACTTATCAAGTAAGGGGTTGTTACCAAAGGGTCTTTGGTTTAGCGGTATCGTAGCCCTTGGCCTTTTAGAAGGTCAGGGGTTCAAACCTCACCATAGGTGAGGAGGGTGTGTGAGTTTATTTGTTGCATTTGCCGTATATAAATATTATATACTTCAAAAAAAAAAATCAAGTAAGGAGTTGTTTGTTTATCTCTTAATAGTTATATTAAGAGACAACATCTGAATCATTAAGAGATAAATCTTGTTTGGCAAAAAAAAAAGTTTGTCTCTTAATGGTTCTAAAACCATTTGAATAATTTTGTATCATGAGCTTCCCTTAACCATTCAGCGCCGTAAATTCAATGTAAACAATTACCAAACAATTATATTTCATGTTTTACTATATTATGAGAGCCTCTTAATCATTCTGAACACTTAATCATTATGCACCAAACCATTCAGCAACTGCCAAACAGACCATAACACTTATCATAAATCATATAAACAAAGTATAAAAATGAATGAATTTGAACCAATAAACGAGATTAATCAATCTCGAGTTAGAGCCCATAAACGAATATCGTGCTCGAACTCGAACATTGAAATCGAACCCCGCTATAAAAAAGTTATTCAAACTCGAAGCTAAAATTCAATTTTTATTAATAGTAAATAAAAAATAACAGAAAAGGAAAAATATTAATCGAGTTCAGAAACGGTGCCCTAAATAATTTTGACTATAAAGTCACCTATACCGAGCCGCATTACAGCAACGCAGCGCAGCTGAACGCACAGCTAAGAGCAATCGACTTCATCGATAAATTTCAGCATCAGAGTCGGCCAAAATAAAGAAGATTTCGATCTTGACGGTAATTTCGATCATTTCACCTTCTTAAATTATCGTCTGCAGTAATGTTTGCGGTTGATCATCTCTTCTGATTGTTGATTCTCAATCGATTCAGTGAATTTTATGTGACTTACGGTCTCTGTTGAAAGTAGAAACTAGGGTTTATCGTCTGAAAATGAGTTAGAGGATTGTTTTTATTTTGTTAAAAACTATTAACTGTTTGTTTGAGTTTTGTTATCATGGTTCGATTTATTTCAAAATTTCCAGTTAGTAAACTGTGTTATTAACATTATCGTTATTCATTTACTTGATGTTAGAAATTTGTAGTTGATTTACTCTCATGTGCATCATAATGATGGTTATGTTCTTGTTTTAAGTAATGGATTTTTTGATGTTATATTATTATGTTTACATTTCTTTGTTTTTCGTTGAGCAGAAAAGCTTAGAACTGGGGATATTTCAGATTTGATAAGATGGCGGAGGAAGAAAATCGAATCGAGTTGAAGGATGAAGCAGCAGCTGATGTAATTCTAACATATTCTTTTTATCTGATAGATGTTTTTTGTGTTTGTTTAGAGGTATTATTGTATCAAGCAGTAATCAATGGGCATGATAACAAAAGAAACTGTTTGGTTTTTATATAATATAATGGGTTCATAAATTTTCATTCCAGTTTGGCGAATGAAAATTCATTCCCATCATTTTCATACCCCCATCCTGTACCAAACTGCCCCGAAGGGGCATTTGATGGTATTTTCTAATAACTATGCGTTCATGGTTAGTTTTGAAAGCAATGTATCTGATGCCATACCCACCCTCAGCAATGTATCTGATGCCATACCGACCCTTACCTTGTTATCTTTAAATGGTTTAAGGTTAGTTTTGAAAGCAATGTTAGTGCTATCATTGTAGTATCTGATATGAGAACAATGGTTCTTATGGACGAGATGATGGAGAACGCCCATTTTTACCCATGATAAAATTATATCACATTTCATGTTGATTTGTTAGAGATGTTTACTCTTCTACTTGTTTACAGTACACATACATTATTTTTGGTCCTTGAAAGATCTATTCATTGGTATGTTAACATGATGCAGCTTGCACCCTTTGATCCTTCGAAGAAGAAGAAGAAAAAGAAGGTTGTTATCCATGATGCTGCTGACGATTCTGTGGAACAGTTGGCTGAGAGAACTGAAAGCCTATCAGGTGATAATTTTGACAACCAACTTGCACATACCGACACCCTATATGTATGTGTGCATATAAAAATACACGGAAAAAAAGTTTCACATTGTGATACAAATATATATTAATCAACACCTTAAAATTATACCCAGATGAAAAAAAGATCATGGGAAACAATACCTTAATGTAAAAGTTCTCAAGGTTCGGGTTCTCAGTTGATTATTCCTCTATATATGCACCGGCATGTGTATATATATTTATTTACTAGGTTCGATTCCGTGTATTACACGGGGTAATTTGAAAAAATTAAATCATGTCAGGAACTTATCTTATAGATATGAATGATCATTGAAAGTGCGATACTACTTTAGACTTGTACTCTGAAAAATGAATCTTCAGACTTGTATTCTGGAAATAACTCTGAAGTATAAAATCAATCCCATTAAATTAGAGTCTAGACGTCAGAGTTCGGGTGAGCTAAGTCTGAAAAGAAGACTTCAGAATTCGGGTGAGCTAACTCTGAAGAATGACTTCAGACTTATACTCTTCAGAATTGTAGAAGACTTTAGAGTTCAGACTTCTAAGGGCCCGTTTATCAAACGCTTACCCGAGTAAGCGCTTATCAAGTCACATTACCTTATCGAATTAATATAATAAGGACCAAGAATCTTACACCGGTAAAAGCGAGACAAGGTCCAAGAGTCTTACCCGGTAAGTGATGGCGACGACTCTTACCACGGTAAACACTTATCGGGTAAATTGTTGCATACAATATCGTTTTGGTGGACTAAAATCTTACCTGGTAGGTAATTGATAGTGTTAAATTTTATGGTAAGCGCTTACTGGGTAAGTGTTTGGTAAACGTCCCTTAAGTCTGAAAAAGAAGACTTCAGACTTCTAAGTCTGAAAAAGAAGACTTCAGACTTCTAAGTCTGAAAAAGAAGACTTTAGACTTCTTATTCCAAGTATAAAAAAAGACTTCAGAGTTCAGACTCCAGGGTTCGGGTGAGCTATGTCTGAAAAAGCAAACTTCAGATTTCGGGTGAGCTAACTTTGAAGAATGACTTCAGACTTGTTCAAAAGGGACTGAACTTGTAATTAAGGTATACTTGCGTACCAATTGCGCAATATACGAAACTTATATATGGATCTCGGGTCTATAAAACCAACCCGTCTTTTAGGGTTTTATACATCAAGAACATGTCTCTTCTATTCATCGCCTCATGTTCTTAGTGCAAATGGAGACTGAAGATGAATTTAATCGTATTTTTGTTTCTTCTCTTCATTGTTCATTGATTCGAAGCTATCGATAGCCACGAATCATGGAACGATAGCTATCACTTTCAATATGATTGTTTTCTTTTTGTTTTTGAATCATTTTTGAGATTGAAATTACGATCAAACTTTTGGTTGACCGTAGATATGATGGCAGCAATGTATTAGCTCTATCTGATCTCTCTAGATTTAATACCGTGATGAAATCGAGTTTTTTAAGCTTTTTAGATATGAAAATTTGATTGTTGATTGAACTGGAGAATGAAGTGATGATCAATAGATTCCCTATTGGTTTGATTGGCCAGAATGATGGCGAAATTCGTATTAGTCTATCTGATCATTCTTCTTTCAAATCTGATTTTATTTACTTTTTTTTTTGGTATCGTTTCAGTATTTTGAACATCTTGATGGAAGTTTATTGAGCTCAACAGTTTTGTTAGGGTTTATGTTCCTTTAATTTTAAGCCGTTTTATGGGTTGTTTTTGACTTCAGATGTGATTTCTACTGAACTGAAGGAAAATTTAGAAATTGGAATAGAATATTTTCACAATGTATTAGCTTTATCCGATCTTTTTCGATTTCATACTGGTGATGAGATTGAGTTTTTATTTTAAAGTTTTTGAGATATGAAGATTTGTTTATTGATTGAAGCGGAGAATGAGGTCCGATTTCATAGTTGTATTCTAAGCCTGGGAAGTAACTATCTGAACCAGACCAATTCAGAGTTATGTTGCAAGTCTGGGAAATAACCAATACCTGATGTAGTTCAGACTTCACAATTCAGACTTCATTTGAATTCCTATATTTAGACTTAGAAGTCTGAAAGACACTTCAGAGTTAAATTCAGACTTGCAACTCTGAATTTCCCAGACTTCTATGTCTGAAAAAGTTTGTAGAGATCAAACTTGTAAGTCTGAGGAATGGAAACCCAGACGTTTGCTTATTTAAGTCTTTGAAAAGAAATCCCTTTTCGTACGGAAATCAAATTATGTTTACAGGGACAGATGTCAATTAAATAGGCTCATTTGAACCAGTAATATAAATTGTGTCTACATACACGTTTAGGCGGGGAAATCCTTATAACCGTCGCACAATAAGACGACATGTACTTGACATGCATTACATCTTTCTCTCTCCTGAATTATAATCTAGGATGTACTTGACATGCAGTTTCTGAAGGTCTTGAACCTACGTTTGCTGGTTTAAAGAAGAAGAAAAAGAAGCAGGTTGGTAACTGCGTTCTCCATAGTGTGCTCACTATACTGGATAAATGGTTTTTCCATATTGCTGGTTTGAGATTTTTATAAGTTCTAGGTAGAAACCGAACCCTTGGATGAAGAGAAAGAAAATGCTGGCGAAGATATAGATTGTAAGAAGCTCTTTCAGTTAAGTTATTGTCTTCCATCATGTTTATCTTGAATGCTTGAACATGTACTCTGTATGCTTTCTAGATCCTATTGGAGAGGACGAGGAAGGAGAAGGAATTGTCTTACAAGAACAAAAACTTCCATGGGAAGGGACCGACCGTGACTACAAGTATGAAGAGGTATATAATCTTGTGGAGTGCAAATAAATTTATGATACTTTTTCTTGGTGATGGTGGTGAAATGACTAATGTAAAATTTTCTTATTCAATTTGTTGACTTGTTGATATTTTTTGTTTATCGACATTTATGCAGCTTCTGGGCCGAGTCTTCCACATTCTTCGTGAGAATAATCCTGAGCTTGCTGGAGATAGACGAAGAACAGTCATGAGACCACCACAAGTTCTTCGTGAAGGAACAAAAAAGACGGTTTTTGTGAATTTTATGGACCTTTGCAAATCGTACGTCACCACCTGATTGTTTCACATTTTTCCCGTTGTTTAATATTTACAATTTCACATAAAAAGAAGAAAATTTGAACATGATAATTACACCCTGTTCCACATACTGAATGTTTACTGTTTGCATCCATCAGCATGCACAGACAGCCAGAGCATGTTATGACCTTTTTGCTGGCTGAATTGGGTACAAGTGGGTCACTTGATGGCCAACAGAGATTGGTAGTCAAGGGAAGATTTGCACCAAAAAACTTTGAAGGGATTCTGAGGCGATATGTCAGTAAGTTGTCAAAACTCTTGATGGTCTTAGTCTCTTGTGGAAGTTTGTGGTTTTTACTTCATTTTTTGCACGTTTTAAGGTTGAGACTACTTTCAACCCGTTTCTTTCATACATAATATGCATAATGCATCCGACCTCTCTCTCTTCTCCAAATTAGATTAAGAGTGTACACAACTACTCATGTTGTTATATCAATATCCGTCGAAGGTTCTGCTTCTTGTTTGACTTAAGTGCACCTGATGTATATGTGTATATATATATATGTTGCATCAGTTCTGTTACTAATTATATAATTATATACGTCATTGGCTGATAAATATCTGTTTACAGATGAGTATGTCATCTGCAATGGTTGCAAGAGCCCAGATACAATTCTTTCAAAGGAGAATCGCCTTTTCTTTCTCAGATGTGAGAAGGTATGTCATAACGCTTAATCTCTCTCACTACTCTTTTCTAAAAGAAGAATATAGAAACACACTACAGTTGGCCTATGATGAATGAAAGTTTTGCCTACATTGTCTAATTGTTTACCATGAAGAGAAAACTAGTGATTTCTGAGGCTTTTCTTTCAATATACAAGCATTTGACATACTATATGATCCATTAGTAAAGGCCTGTGATGAATAAAAGTTTTGCCTACATTGTCTGATTGCTTATTATGCAGAGAAAACTAGACTCTTCTGAGGCCTTCCTGAATATATAAATGCACCATTTATAATAAAGGCCTTTGATAAATAAAAGTTATGCCCACATAGTGTGATTGTTAAGAGAGATATAGACTTGAGCTCTTTTTAATGTATGCACTGTCCATGTAAGTAAAGGCATGTGACAAATTGAAGTTTTGCCTACATTGTCTGATTGTCTACAATGAAGAGAAAACTAGAAATTTCTGAGGTCTTCCGAATATATATATGCATACTAGATATGGTTTATCACCAAAGGTCTCTGCCTCTGGTTAATAGAAGTTTTGCATACATTGTCCGATTGTGTGCTATGAAGAAAACAATGAGAGTTCTGAAGATTTTTTTTCAATATACAATCATTCAACATTCTTTATGATCTACTAGTTACGGCCTATGATGAATAGAGTTTTGCCTACATTGTCTGATTGTTTACTATGCAGAGAAAACTAGACTTTTCTGAGGCCTTTCTGAATGTATAAGCAAAATAAGTACTGTCTATAGTAAAGTCTTTGATGAATAAGAGTTCTACTTACATTGTCTGATTCTGTGCTATGAAGAACACTACGAGACTTTCTAGGCCTGTTTGAATACATACGCATGATATATATATATATATATATATATATATATATATGGGAAGGCCTGTGATGAATAAAAGTTTGCCTACATTGTCTGATTGTTTAATATGCAGAGAAAACTAGACTTTTCTGAGGCCTTTCTGAATGTATAACCAAACCATGTACAATATTTTAGTGAAGTCTTTGATGAATAAAAGTTCTATTCACATTGTCTGAATTCTGATCGTGTGCTATGAAGGAAACTATAGACTTTTTAGGCTTGTTTGAATACATACACATGCTCTCTCTCTCTCTCTCTCTCTATCTATATATATATATATATATATATATATATGCAAAGGCCTGTGATGAATAAAAGTTTGCCTACATTGTCTGATTGTTTACTATGCAGATAAAACTAGATTTTTCTGAGGCCTTTCTGAATGTATAAGCAAACTATGTACAATCTACCAGTGAAGCTTTGATGTATAAATGTGCTATTGATTGTGTGCTATGAAGGACAGTAGAGTTTTTACTTTTTAGGCCTTTTTGAATACATACACATGCTATATGCAAAGGCCAGTGATGAACAAAAGTTTTGCCTACATTGTCTGATTGTTTACATTGAAGAGAACTAGAGATTTCTGAGGCCCTTGTTAATTATATAGACATACTAGATATATTCAACCACTAAAGGCCTGTGAGTGGTTAAATACGCTTTTTGTCCCAAAATAATTGTCCACATTTTTGTTTTAGTTTGTTCCAAAATAATTGTCCACATTTTTATTTTAGTTTGTCCCAAAATAGTGTCCGCATTTTTATTTTATTTTGTCCCAAAATAATTGTCCACATTTTTANTTTTTATTTTAGTTTGTCCCAAAATAGTGTCCGCATTTTTATTTTATTTTGTCCCAAAATAATTGTCCACATTTTTATTTTAGTTTGTCCCAAAAGAAGTGTCTACTTTATGATAACCCTAAATAAGGAGATGGAAAAATTCATTTCTTGTTCTGTTATTAAGGGTAGATTCCACAACAAATGCATGCTCATAGGATGTATCTCGATGAGGAAACATTTGTATATTAGTTCAACGGACTTCAACGAAGGCTTTATAGAATGAGTTAAGGTTGTGACGGGGGCGATGATTAGGATCTGCTATGCCACCAACCTATTTATTTACAATTTCCTTTTTTATGCTTATGTTTTGGCACGTGAATTGGAGGAAACAAATGGTTCATAATTTGTTTAAGTTGATGACCAATGAAGGTCCCAAACCGGATCTCATTACATGGAACACTTTGTTGCTAGGGTATTGTACAGGCTGCAGGATCCCTCTTGCACAAAAGCGTATCACCTAACGAGATCCAGTTTGGGACTTCATTGGTCATCAACTTAAACAAGCCATCAACTTCCTTTGATTTACGTGACAAGGCATAAGCGTAAAAAAGAGAATTGTAAATAAATAGGTTGGTGGGATCATCGATTTTGATCATCGCTCACATCACAACCTTAGTGCTTTTTATAGTCTTCGTTGGAGCACCCGTGAGCTAATATACTTCTTTTATCGGGATACATCCTACGAGTATGCATTTGTTATAGCACTAAACGTGCATCATCCTAACGATATAAAGTCCATAAGGTTTTGAATCAAGTTACTATAAATCACGACATCCAATGGGATGCCTTTGTTAAAGACCATAATTCGGCAGCTTGTGAAAGCTCTATCTAGCTTTCCATCGAGGGGGAGACCTTGAATGATGGTCCCATATGTAACAACATTGGGTTTACATTTTCTAGTTTTTTCATTATGGACGTTTATTTTGGGACAGGAGTAGAAATTATGCTTATATTGTCTGATTAAGAGAAAATTAGAGATTTTTGAGTTCTTTTTTAATTTCATGTTTACATAAATGTACTTATTTCTTATAATTACTAGTAATGGCCTATGATGAATTAAAGTTTTGCCTACATTGTCTGATTGTTCGCTATGCAGTGAATTGAAAATTTGTGAGGCAAACGATCTTGGTTATTTTAGAAGTTGATTACGCATATAAGGGACTAATTGAATGAGAAGTACAAATTGCTTGAGAACCAAGTTTTCATGTGTTGTAAAACAATGCATGTGAAAATACCGTGGTGTTTCACAATGTGATTGATATTAGTATTATTTATGTTAGTATTGTCTAAATCACGATGTGAAACAACACAAGATCATTGGTTCTCATGGTTTTAAACATTTTTGTGGTTCTCATTTGATTATGCCTCTATGCACATATTAATATGCACTTGTTGGTCTAAGTAGGATGAGAACCCAATATATCTCATACACAGGGGAGGGTATATATATCGTATATAAACCAGATCAAACGAGCCCAATATATCCCAACTGTTGAAATGAAGTTATGCATTGCTTTCGGTGCCTAACCAACTCTTGAAGCTCTAATTATATCCATTATCTTTTTTGTAGTGTGGTTCAGGAAGGTCGGTTGCTCAAATCAAGGCTGGTTTTGTGGCTCGTGTTGGACGTAGAAAAGCTGGGACGTAGTTGGATAATTCTCTCCTGTACGCTGAAACTGTGAAAACCTTAAATGCTGCTAAGCGAGTTCATATCCTGTCCATGCCTCTTATGTGCAGTTTTGTTTACTTGTGTGTGAATCTTGCATGCTTTCTGTATTTGAATTTGTGTACTCTTGACCCCTTTTGGCAACTTGGTTAATAGTTACCAAAGTGGGTGATGGTCACAGGATATGCGAAATGCTAAAAAGGTATGTTTTTAATGTTGGGATCATTTAGTTGTCTCATGTTATCGGGAAATACTAAAGCTCAGGTCGTGACTTTGCTTCCTTTTACTTCATTGGCATTTAGTAGGAGTTTATTTGGTTGGTTTTTCATTAATAAGCTGTGAGTCTCATTAATCTCTTAACAAACTGACCCTAAAATACCTTGACATATAGGTGGAAAAGTTATCAAAAACTCAAATCTTCCAAAAAAAATTACATTTAACTAAGATTCTTTATTCGGAGATTACCTGTTGATTATATTAAATATTTTATACATGTAATAAAATGCTATTTTCTCATAAACTTTAACATCAAGGTTTTCTTATTGGTAAAAAAGTTGTTCCTTTCACGGGTAATCATTTTTACGGAATTCTCTAATTTGGAGCATTTCACAGTCATGCTTTCTTTATTTTGGAGAATCTTTTGGAACTAGAATTTATCGAAATTCTTGATTTTCTTTGTCTTGAAGAATTTCTTAGATTAGAAACCTATTATAAGTAAAAAAAAAAAACCCGAAGTTTAGATATTGTTTTCTTATCATTTCAATCGAAAATTGGTTCAACGATGTTGTATTGAAGACATCGGTTTAAAAGGTTCAAATGCTCATAAAAAGTCCAATTATGTTTTCTTTATCAGAACGTTAATTTCTCAAGAGCCTCGTGAAACTAGTCTGAAGTCGAATTATGTAGAAAACAATGGTGGACCCAGAATATAAAACTGGTTTCAACATTCACTAAAAAAACCAAAATTTTTAAATGTGAAAACAATGTCCACAAAATGACAAATACACAATCATTTATAAAGACATAAGATAATAGCTTTTTGAAAAAGAACCTGTTTTCAAGTCAAGTAGACACTGCTGAGGCATGATACCATTACCAATTGCCACCCCTTCTTTATTTTTTTATTTGTATAATGACTAATTAATATGGTTAACTAAAACTAGGAGAAATTGCATGAAAAAATAACGTATTTTAACTTGATTCTTATTTTGGGTTATGTACTTTTAGAACTTTCATTTTGGTACATAAGATGTAAAGTTTTAAATATTTAAGTACTCGAGTAATCGGTTGAAGCATTAACTGATACCATAATGATGTGACAAGTGATATGGTATGTAACTCAATATTATTTGTTGACATGGTTAGTGACATGAATTTTTTTTAATCTAAAATTAGTCTTCAACGGGTTATCCGGGTACTTAAATGTTTAAAACCTTATATATTAGGTACCAAATTGAAAGTTTTGAAGGTACGTTACCCAAAACAGGAATTAAGTTAAAGTACATTACTTTTTCATGCAATTTACCCATAAAATTAAGTTAAATTTGTTAGATTATTTTTACTCTTGTTTTGTTTATTTTGTAGTATAAATTTAATTAAAATCTGACGAAATGATATAATTAATTTTGATTATAGGACCATATATGTAAAAATATTTTATTTAGAAGAACGAAAGTGTAAAATGTGTAAAAAAATTAAATTATGTTTATATGTAATTTACAAAAATTACAAATTTTTGGTATCGTAAATCAAAGCGTTTGAATTGTAATTCCGTCGTAATCTAGAGGACATTTTTGAAATAACGGAAACTTGTTTGAAACAAGATACATGTTTTTGGTGTGAATTTTATGTTGACGAGGCGTAGCTTTCTCTCTTGGTAGCAAATCTGATGGGTCTATCCCTGAATCCCGATCACATATTTGTAGGAGATTGAAACACGTGTTCAATAAATATCCATATAATTCAAGAAATATTACGGATTCGTTTGCTTTGTGATTGTTAGGAACAAATCAACGTTCGTTGACAAAATTAAGTTGTTGGTTCTTAGTGTCGTCCAACTTTGTTGGGCCGTCGATCGTGACGGAGCAATGGAAAGACTTGTAGAGTTGCAGATTCTATCGCCCCTTGTAATACGTAGATTGTCTTTTTAAGCAAATAAGAATACGTAAACGAACAAGTCGCTAATCCCGTTTTAGTAAACTCCTAGCACGTTGTCTCATTGGGAAATTTAAATACTTTCACAAACACGTTCATACATATTTATGCATTTACACACACACACGCGCACACACTTGATGGGTACGTACAAACGGCTAAAATATGCTAAAATTTGTTTTTATTTTTTGGAAAATACGAGTCTTTTACGAGAAATCTAGCATATGAAAATTATCGCAATCACATAGACTGATCTCTTATACCATCCTTGAATTATACCCAGACTCCCAAATTTTACGCTATATAACAGAACAAAAAAATCAAATACTGAAGGCATATTGAAACCATAGCTCGTGATTACTTTTATAGGTATGTAGACCACAAAATCTGTTATGAGTTCATCTACGTAAGTCGTAAGATATTGTAATATTAGAACGTGATTTATTACTGTTCTTTGCATATTATTAGCCTACACTAATCAAGGTTGTTTGGGTTTTGGTTAACACGCTCAGTGGTTCCCTAATCAAAAGAAATCGTACCTGAATCGATTTGCGAAATAGAATCTGAAATCGACTGAAATCACTTGCTAACGCTTGAAGTTTTATCTGTTTTCAAAACCCTTATTTGTCTCGGTATTCCGTCTTGACTTCTTTCCTTATAATGGAAAAGAAAGTTGAGTGCCTACCTCTCCATTTTGTTGCTTAATTGAGTTTCTCACACTCTCCCAAGTGATCGTTGGTCGAAAATGGGTTACTGGTTTCCAATTTTGTTCGGGATTTCTGGTAATTGGCTAATTAGATGGACTTCCATTTTCATACAAATACACAGTCCTTGAAATTTTCTTAGCATTATGTTAGGTGTTACATATTCGTCAACTTACAGTAATAGATCCGAACTAAAGGGTCTTTGGTCTAGCGGTATCGTAGTCTTTAACCTCTTAGGAGGTCAGGGGTTCAAACCTCCTCATAGGTGAGAAAGGTGTGCGAGTTTATTTGTTGAATTTGCTGTATATAAATATTATATACTTCAAAGAAAAAAACTTAACAATAATAGATCTGAACATGTGTTCACAATTCTATTTTAGTTTATCTTAAAATGAGGTCCACTTTTAAAAATAAGTCATCACTTTCCAATTTTACCCTTAATTATGAGATGCATAATGTTTATCTCTATTATAAAAAGTAAAAACACCATTTAATTATTTTAAAAGTGTAATAATTATAAGTTTTTAAAACTATGTTATATTTTATTTCTCAGACACTTAGTTTGGGACATAGTGAGTACTAAAAAAGAATATATTATCAAAGCGTTTTTGGCCTAGCAGTATCGTAATTTTTGACTTCCTATAAGGTCAATGGTTCAAACATCACTAAATGTGAGGAGAGTGTGTGAGTTTATTTGTTGCATTTGTCGTATATAAATGTTATATACTTATAAAAAAACGAATATAATTATGTAAGAGAACGCTAATTTTAATTAAAAATTGTCTTAAATCCATTCCCGTAATATTTAAAGTTGTTTTTCATTCCAAATCAAACTTTCCGTTTAAATCATAATTCTGTTTGTATTTTCAAATTATAAAGTTGAATTTATCTCGACCCGAATTTGAGCTTACACTAAAAACTCACGGAGTTTGAGGTAAACCTAACGTTATCAAATTAAGTTCGATCTCGACTTGACTCGTTGACTCTCGAATCCAAATAATAAAAGTGATTATCTTATTCCATCTGAAGCAATAGGTTTGGTTCCGCTGATAATGAGAGTTACGATGAGAACAGTAAAAAGGAATCCCCACCTTGGATCAATTTTAATTGAAGAGTTTCAGTAAATTAACACTAATGAAAAACCAGCTCAATTCCCTTCTAAAACGCAATTTATAAGTTGTTTCGGAACTAGAACTGATCAATCGTCCAAATCTTTTCACATAATTGTTTACGATAAAACTGCACCCATGACATAAAAGTAGCCATGTGCAACTTATTAAACTTCAAGTTTAACCTATTATTTTTTACAAACATATATTAAATTCAATGGATTATTTAATCATTGTTAAAATTTATTTTAATTTAAATTAGTGTTTATTTTTATAAATACATTGGTGTCATTTTTTTTACAATAATGATTTAAATTATAACTTTATTAAACATATGGTTGAATAAATATTAAGTTTCTCTTAATATTTCTCTGTCTTTTAAAATTAAATAATTGTATGTTTTTATTTCTTTTATCTGTTAAACCGGAAAAAAGACTGTTATTTGTAAATATATATTTTATGTTATGTTTTACTACTCTTGATTATTTAGGTAAATGTTGATTACTGACAATCTCAACCGGACTTATGGATAACCTATATTTAAGGACACCAATTTGATGGAACAGAGAGGGATTGAGCCCATGACCTGTTTTATATTTGGACAAAGTCGTTGACTATGTGATTTTAATTATATTTGTGCATTGAAATCGTCTTTGATGAATAATTAGGGTCGATTCAAACAGAGAGAGATCTTGAAATTTTTTTAAGTGGTGATATCATTTGACTGTAAGAAACAAATAGATGGATTGGTCTGTTGTTTAGTTCATTTTTTTTATATGTAAGGTCATGTATTCAAGTTTTTTATTGTAATTTTTTTTTTCTTTCAAAAACACAATAAATCTGAAATGAAAAGTTAAAGACTAAGAAAAAACACTAATGTGGTTCGAACTCAGGTGTAGGATGGAAGAAGAGTATTGCAAACCAACTCTACCAAAAAAAACTTGTGTTCTGATTATAGTTTCAAAATATATAAGATGACACACAACAAATTGATACGATAATACTTTTCATGATCTTAAATATTTTTTACACTATGGCGGACGTTCTTTGATTCAAATAGGAAGGTTAGATAAGAAAGAAAAGTTAAAACAAAATTCATATGTGAATAATTGAAAAACTCTATTTAAAAAATGCACATGTAAATTTATATGAATAATCTCTAATATCGCAATTCACATGTGAATTTCTTAATTAAATGTAAATTCTATATTTTTTTTAAGAGTAACGAGAATAAAGAAATATTTATAAAGACATAAAATATAACAGAAAGGGTAATTAGTGGTTGACAAAGGGGAGCATGTGAAAAATGAACCTTCAAACTGTGATTGGTACCTTGACCTTATTCGTATCCCTTTCCCCGAAACCCCATTAAAAACGATGCTCCAATTTCATCCCTTTCTTACCTCTCTCATGGCGGAATCTTGAAGCCTCGTCTTCTCTCTGGAATCTCCTCGCTGCTTACAGATTTTAAGTCTATCCACCTCAACCTCTGCTTAATTTCTTCGTCTTCGTCATCAATCGTCAAAAACGAGGTAAAATTTGGAATTATTACTTATATATATGTATGTATAGCTTAGATGTTAGAGCTACTATTTCGATCATTCTTTTATGTGCAGTCGACTTAGATTTGTGCTATAATTTTCGCGTCGGTGACTATATCGATTTGATTTTTGTAGAAGAAAAGTAACGAATGGCTGCTCTATCTTAGTTCTCCTTGTTGAACTGGTTCTGATTCAGGTTTCATTTCTCAGATTTGAGGTTAGAGTTTACATTTTGGTAAATTATTTAATTGTATTCGACGTTTTTCTTCTTCAATCTCGGCTAAATTCGTTCTTATCTTCGTTCTGCCATGGAAGCCTCCTGGATCACATGTTTTTATTTATAGTTTTGTCGTGAATTCGTTTATGAAAATCGTGTGTGTGCAATGTATAAAATTATTACAGTCTCCCTAGTTAAAAACTAATGATATATGGTCATATAGAAAGTATAACAGCAAGGTTCGAAAATTTTGGAATGATTCACACATTATTATGCCGCTTTTCGAAACAATTATTTAATTCTTTTCCTCTTTTTGGCCTTTTCTCTAAATCGTACTTTTGGTTCTTCTAATTCAAATCTCTTTCAAATTCATTGCCGCCTATTGATTTCACATCTTACGAATCAATTCAATTACACAAATCTGGAAAATATTTTGAATCTGTAAAAATTGATTCAAAAACGTTGCAGTCGCATTTTAAAAATTAAAACAAAAACGATATATTTGCTGTTTAATTAAGATATATTAAATTATTAAATTAATGCGTAGTATTATGTATGTGGGAACCGCGTAGCTGGAATCACCGTTTGCGGCACTTGTCGACGCTCCCGCCGGATATTTTGCGGATATTTTACTTATTATTAAATTAGTGGAAGCTAGTCGCGCTGCAGAGCGCGTGTTAGTTACACCCCGTTTAAAAATGGGTTCGTGTTCTTTAGAGTTACGCGTATGGGTGACACGTTTCATGTAACCTGCATTATCAGGGGTGGAAACTTGTAGATAAATACTGATTGAATTGTCCCCACCCAGTTACATTTCTAGTATTTATATGTAACGTTTGTTGTTGCAAAATATTAATAACTTCAGTTTTGATTCGTAAGATTTCTTTAGTTTTTTCGCCATTAGAGGTAATTGTATACTTACAATTCGTAATCAGACGTTTTTTGTTAAAAATTATGTTTCTTAGAGCATATGGATTTCGTTTTGTATTACCTTATATGAATTATGCATTGACGGAATCCTGAATGATTATACATAGCAAAAATAGGATTTAATACTAATTTATCATTCATTATTGTTCTCGTTGTAGTCTTGTATATCTGTCAATGTTTTCCAAATATTCCACCCTAATTTAGAGTTGAAAAGTTCATTTCCTTGATTTTAAAGAGTCAGATGTATAATTTCTAGTGGGCCGATTATTTGTTGTTTTAGAATAAATATAAGTTTTAGAAGTTTGACTATTAGTCTTTTATTACAACAAAGAAAAAGTCTTGGACATATGAGCCTTCTTAGTTTAAACTTGAGGTCAAGTTCTTCCCCAATCCAGTTATGTGAACGTAACTCGTTTGACCCGCTAAGCTTGATATCCTTTCTTGCTTCTTGATATAATAGATGAGAAGCGGAACCGAAGAAAGTATAAAAAAAAATGATAATCATAATATTATTTATGTCCCCGAGATTTAATGAAGCTAAAGTTAACCATGATTTTGGATTTATGCCAGCAAAACACTGATGAATCATGTCAGTTTGTCATGATCACCTGTATGTATGCTTCTGAAACAAAAGTAGTTATGACCTGATATTTTCCTGCCACTGCTTTTCTTATTGATTCTGATGCTTATTGAATCAGGTTTTTGTAAGCGCCCATATATCCGAAAAAGCAAAATGGCATCATCTCTGGTAAGCAGACTCTCATTTAAAGCTTGTCATATTCCGCCAACTTACTGTGATAAGAAGGAAATAATATTTGTTTTGCGAGTTTGATTATTTTCTCAAGCTTATAATAATGGTGGTTTCGATGTTAATTTGCTGAATGTATTTATGTGTTGTATTTTTTTGTTTACAGGCTAATAAGTCGCATAAAGGTTATAGGAGGACAGAATCAAGAAATAAACATTCGTGGTGGTGGGATAGCCACATTAGTCCCAAGAACTCCAAATGGCTGGCAGAAAATCTGGAGGGTAAGCAACTAAGTTGCAATTCTTTTACTTTTGACCGATATACAATTTTTTGAATCATCCATTTTTGGGGTTTCATCTTTATTTCTTCATGTAAATAGGCCCCTAAGTCACATCTTGCATGTCCTTGACTAATCCTATTGGGTCTTGAAGTTAACAGTCGGACACAAAGACTCGAACTGCTGAGGGATGACCATTAGGAAAGAAACCCAAGGCCTCACCTCAATAAATGGAAATGTCAAATGACATAAAAGAACAACAGGACCTATTCCATTCTTTCTGTTCCTTGTGCCTACTTCCACGATATATTTGTGTTCTTTTTTTGGTAGTCCCTCTCTTTCTTAATTTTTTTGGTTAGTAGGCAGTATTCTTGTGGCAGGGATGTGGTCTTAACAGCAGTAGTTTGTAAGGAACTTCTATGAAGTTCACTAAGAAAGGTGAAATTTATCTTCATGTCAGATAACAGACTTTTAACATTAACACATGTCTATAGTCCATAAGATCCCCCAGTCCATTAACCTTGTGTCCATAAATGGGCTTAAAAGATTGAAATTTGCCTACAAATAAGAAGACTGTTGTTTGTCCATTACTTCTTGTCCACCTTCAACATCTAATGATTAGTGGTATGTCCTTTTTAGTTTATACTTCTGTCTGTTCCATAAAAGGGGTGATTCTTAATTAACCCCCTATGCATGCTATTTGAATCAAGAAGGATGTTCAAATAGAATGTTGGGATCGTGTGAGAATACCAGTTAGAACAAACTTTTGGATGAGTTGATTTTTTGATCTAACTTTATCTTCACTTTCACCACTTTCATGAACTTTTACATACATTTACTCACTGTCACATGCATGAATTTGTTAAAGTTTCAGTCATGATGATATAAATATGTTATTATAGGCAGGTGAAGGTATATAAAGGTTTTGTTCTCACATTCTCACCATTAACTTATTCTTATCTGGACCCAACCTTATTTGATCATACATGAAGGGTTTAAATTACTACAAAATAATTTGGGATAGTGATATATCATTAGTTAAAGGAACATCAGGGAAAAAGGAAAGATTTCTGGGTTAGTTACGAAATATCAGTTATTGGAAAGCTTTAAGGTTGGAGTGCCTATTTAAATGAATTTGTGATATTAATCTATGTTCATAAGCTTTTATTATTTTGTCTTCAAGTATTTTAGATCTTCCACATACAATCAAATAATTTCCTGAAACTCTGTTGTTTTCCTGTGGCCTATCACGCTTCCTCATGAAAAGTAGGCCATGTTCTTTCTCATTTTTAATGCATAACTCAAAAATTAAACACCTTTTTTGGCTTTCTTTATTCTTTTTTCCCACAAAAAAGTGGGATTTGGGACATGAAATTCTAGGTATTACCACCTAATAGTCCAATACCACTCAAACCAATTACTTTTTTGCAAATTAAAGGCCTTCCCTTCTCATGGAAGTTGATAATATGTCCCCACTTTTGGTTCCTTAGTGGCTGTCATAGTTGTTCCTTGAAATCTCTGCACTTTCTAGTGATCCAATCCATCTGGGGCCCTATTCTTTAACTCAAAATCAAAATCACAACAATCAATGTAAACCCATTCCAAATTTGAATGGCCAAGATTTTGAACCATAGAGTTACAAAAGAGTTCTTGATTGCAGAAATGGACCAAAGTGTGAAGCGAATGTTGAAGCTGATTGAAGAAGAAGGCGATTCGTTCGCCAAGAAAGCCGAGATGTATTACCAAAAGAGGCCAGAACTCGTGTCTCATGTTGAAGAGTTCTACCGGATGTACCGATCGTTAGCGGAGCGGTACGATAATGTCACCGGTGAGTTACGAAAGAACATCCCCTCGGATCTCCAATCTCAAGGCTCGGGAATCTCCGATGTCGGTTCTGAACCACCCTCGACGATCCCGTCTTCGAACCAACGGGTCCGGTCCGGGAGTCGAGCTGCTGGTTTTGATGTCTTCCTTAAAAGCGGTGGAAGTAGCTCGGATTTGGGAACCAAAGAAGGAGACGAGACGTCGACATTGGATTCTGAATCGGAATCCGACGATTCATCTGTGAATAACTACTCGAGTGCATCGGCAAACAGCGATCGCCATGGGTTGCGTAAGAGAATCACCGAGTTGGAAACCGAGCTTCGGAAGTTTCAGATGCAACAAGAAGAAAATCTCGGTGGATCTCACAAGAATACAATAAAGAACGAAAGCACCGAAGAAGAACTGCGAATTGCTAACGAAAAGATACGAGTTTCAGAGGATGTTATAGGAAAATTGCGGATCGAGCTTCAAAAGTATGAATCGATGTCACCTCGACCTCCGATGATCAATGACGGTTTGGAAGCAGAATTCTCGGAGCAAGAACACACAATCCAGGCACTCAAGGTCGAGCTGAAAGCAACCAGAGAAAAACTTAATAATTCAGAGGAAGAAGTGAAAAGATTGAGGCATGAAATTGAGAACAATGGTTCCTCAAATAATCATTTACAGGAGAAGCTGGGATCAGCCCAGAAGGACATTTCGGGTTGGAAATCGAAACTCGACAAAGAGAAAAGAGAAGTATCAAAGCTGCAGGATCGGATAACGAGATACAAAGCGAATCTAGCGGAACGTGATCGAGAAATCCGGGCTTTGCGAGAAACGCTATCGAACGCAAACAAGAGCTTGTCCGAAGAGAATCTGCAGCTTCAAGAACAAGTCACGAAAATGTTAAAAGAACGGGCGCTGCTTGACGACACCATCAAAGAATGGGATTTACGTTGCCAATGTTCCGAAGAAGAGCTCCGGAGGATGAAGATTGCCAAAATGGAAATGGAATTGGATATCGAGCTGTTGAATTCAGAAAAAGACGATCTCGTGGTTAAAGTCTCGGAAATGGACCGAGAGCTGAGTTCGAAAGACGCTGAGATGGACCGTTTGAGCCGGCATTTGCACCAATTACACTTGGAACATGTACAGTTGGTTGACGGGATCGAGAAATCGAAAAAGTCGATCGAGGAATTAACGTGCAGAAGCGAAGAACTCGAGAGGGAAACCGAGAGGCAACGGGAAGTAATTAAAGAAGGAGCGGAGGAGAAACGAGAGGTAATACGACAACTGTGTTTTTCCCTCGAGCATTACAGAGACGGATATCAAATGCTAAGGCAGGCTTTCGTGGGTCATAATAAACGACATCCGGTCATGGCATCGTAGACGATGGAGCGGAGTCGAAGCATAAGTTATGTAATTGTGTTTGTGGTGTTTTTATAGTTGGTATGATTATGGGTTCGTTTTCGAGTGTGTAACAAAGCAAAGGCTTCCTTCAGGCTTGGATGTTGACGTATCCTGGTGATGGATTTGGATGTCTTTCTGTGTACTGTATTTAGTTTTTGCAATACGGTTTTTTTGTGGAAGAGAGAAAAAAAGTCGCATGTTCCAAAATTAAATGTCTAAGATTTTAAATTATATTTTTGTACCTTCACTTTCTCTATCTTATTATGTGTTGTTCACTGTTTGGACATTAAAACTGGAACGGAATGTGTCAAGAAGATTCTCGTTTTTATTTTCAGAAGAGGAAATTACGAGTTTATTTCATATGATTCGGGATTAATTGTTGTTACACTTCTTATGATTTAAAGTTTATTGATGTTTTTATCTACACTAGAAGGATACTCGCGTAATACAGCGAGATACATCTCGATGTTAATGTTTCATTTTATTCTATCATCTGTCGATGTTATAATACGGTTTTAAGAAAAACGATAATAAATTTATTTTTAAATAAATTATAAATTTGAAGATATCTTTAAAAAATTTAAAAAACAAATCGATATAAATATCAAATTAACTATTTAAAAGATCTATTTTTGTTGTATAATTTCTTTAGTTTAACTTTTTTATTATAATTTAATTTAGGTTTATTAAGAAAGTAATTATTTTTTATTTTAATAATATAATTTTTTATAAAGATAATAATTAAGTATTATGTTAGAAAATAATGATTATTCTAATTATATTTTAGATTTTTTATATTTAAAATGAAATATTTATCTAGTATTTGATTATGTTTATCTGTAATTAGTTACACGAATTCAAGTATGGAGCTTTAATAAGTTGTACTTATGCATTATTTATTTGTAATTTTTGAATTTTAAGTAATATGCATCAATAAACAATACTTCATGCATAAAAAATAGTTCTTAAGAGTTTTTGAAACTTTTTTTTTATTACCGTGGATATTCAATCCGCTATGCGAGCCGACTAATCCCAGTATAACCACCTACTTTGCAGGTAGCTCGAAATCATCGCATTTGAACCTCTGTGGCCACAAGGAGATTTTTATTTCTTCCCAAAACTTTTCTTTCTATAGGTAAAAGATAATAGAAACGGAAAGAAAATAATGACAAGTTTACTTCCAAAACTTTCTTTCCACGTGTGAATGAAAGGAAGGGGAAGAAAAAAAATTAGAACCATTTAAAAAATTATTAAAAATACAAGACTACGTGGCCTTTTAGTAAAAATAATATATTTTTAGAGGGGGTATATTTATAAAAATGATATATTTTCTATCCTTTCTCTCTTGTTCAAGAAGAGGGAATTCTATTTTTCCTTTTTCCATTCCTTTCAAAAACACAAATGAAAAAACTAGTTTCATTTCCTTTTTTTTCCCTCCGTTTATTTCCATCCATTTCTTTTCCTATCTTTTCTTTCCAGATTAGAGAACACAACTTAAAAGAAACAAAAATTGCAATGAACTGCAAACTATAATCGAAAGGGTAAATTATTATTTTGTCATGTGATTTTGAAATATGATTTGCATTTCTATGATTTACAATTGATAATAGTTTTTAATCCTTATGATTAATAAGTTATTGTCGTTTTTGTTCATATGATTTACGTTTAATTGTTATTTACGTACCTCATACTAAAAGATCGGAGTTAGGGCGAAAATAACAATAAATTATCAATTATAAAGATGAAAATCCAAAATTTGCGACTACAGGGACTAAAGCTGCAATTTTTAACAAACCACGAGGACTAAAAAACGCAATTTACTCGCTTCGGAATTTATAAAACATAAAAGATTGGCCCATGCAGGTCTCGAACCTGCGACCTTCGCGTTATTAGCACGACGCTCTAACCAACTGAGCTAATAGGCCTTATTGTTTGAATCATTTCTATGAGACTATATAGCAAATAATCCATATATCAGATGGTATTACCCCAAAAAAGAGTTCATTAAGAATCTGGAAAACGCTCTCGCGTATACAAAAATATATTCGCATTATCGATTTTTTAAAAAAATAAAGAAAAAAAAAATCATAAATGGAATGCTCCAAATTCTACCTACTCTTACCTTAAAAATACAAGGTCATTTTACGTCATTGAACCAATAACCATCTTTCAGCTAACTTAATCAATAAGTATAAATTTGAATCAGTAATCATCCATTTGTTTTTATAGAATTTTTAAACTAAATAAGAAAAAGGTGATACCAAATTATTCTTTGTTGAGTAATAACTTAATCCTTGAATAAAATATTGAATGCTACTGCGGGTACAGGCGAAGAAATGATAAAAAGGGCTATATCTGCCACCTCTTTTAAATAAACCAAACCAAACAAAACACAAACATATGATCAAAAGAGGATCAAGTAGTAGAGTTTACACAACAAGATCTCATGCTCAAATTTAGTCTAAAGACTGATAAATAGTAATGTTGTTAAGATTTAAAACTAATGCATGTTTTGTACATAATAACTAAAGGGCCGTTTATTAAACACTTACCTTGTAAGTGTTGATTGGATAACTTTCCTCACCCGATGCACATGGCAAGGACCGAAAATCTTACCCGGTAAAAGCGATGATAAGGATAGAGAGTCTTACCCAGTAAGTGATGGTGAGGACTCTTACCCGGGTAAGCGTTTACCGGGTAAATTGTTACATATCATACCATTTTAATATATTACAATCTTATCTGGTAAAATAGATTATAGTGTTGACTCCTACGGTAAACGCTTACCGGGTAAGTATTTGGGTAAACGGCCCCTAAGTCTTTGGTTGTTTTTTCAAAAAAAACTCTTATCAGCCTCTTATGTCTGATTAGTTAAGAACTAGGGTCATTCAAACTGTTGGTTTTTCCTAATTTTTCAAAGGCACTTATTCTTGTTCACCTCTTATCTAATAAGAGGTAAACCAACCTCTTATTTGTCTCTTATTGTTCTCCAAACTCTTAGTAACAACGTTTCTCAATCGATTCTCCCTTGTCTCAGTTGATCTATTTTAATAGGATTTAAATGTGTTAAATACCATTAATGGCATATTTTCGTCTAATTGAATGCTAATTATATAATTTAAATGTAAATTTCATAATGATGATGAATAAATATGTGAAATTGTATAAACTTATCCATAAAGTCAATACTAAATTTCTAATGTATAAAATAGACAATTTAAATAAATACAGACATTTATCAGTTTACAAAAACAAACAGTGTTATTGATTCAGATTTCAACACCATCTTTTATTAATCATAATTGTAACAAGACATCAGATTTCAGCACCTCTTAAAAAACAAACACAACTTAATACTCATATTTGAGATGGTCAAATACTACTTCCTAAAGAATGGTGAATTGTACCCTTTAACTTGATATTACCTCTATATTTACGAAAGCACGTTGTTTTAAATGACGAAACGACCAACCAAAGTTTTTGCCCTTTTTTTAAATGAAGCTTTCTCGAAAAACCACATGCATCGTCCTCTTCCTAAAAAAACATGTTTAAAATGCAAATTATACACAGCCCTACACTGTCTGTCTGTCTCTGTCTGTATCTACTAACCAACCAACCTCTGATTCTTATTCTCAATCACATGTGAATAATGATTTTCCTTTTTTTTTCTTTCCAAAAAGCGTAGTGGAGAGGAAGAAGAATGTATTAATCGTCCCAAGCATCATCAGCAGCACCTTCTTTCTTGATCATCTCAGTGGCAATCATGTACTTGTACTTGTCTTCCACGTTTATTGACGTCGGAGGGAGCTTTGATTGTGCGATCCTCGCCTCTTTCTGTGCAGCTGCTGCTTCTCGCTCCTTCCTCCGAGCCACCTACGTATTACACGTGGTTATTGATTTCCGATGAAATTCGAGAAGTCAATCCCGAACGAAGTAGGCTCAGGGTGTAGATTCAAAAAACGAGCTACTCGAGCATTTATCTCGAGCTCGAGTTAAATGAGTCACCTCCATAAAACCAAGAGCAAATTACGTTTTTTGTCCCTCTAGTTTGTTAAAAATTGCGATTTCCGTCCCTATATGGTTTGTAATTCATTGCTATTTTCATCCTTATGGTGACAATTTATTGTTGTTTCAGTCCCTGTGGTTTACAATTTTTTACTGTTTTTGTCCCTTGTACTTTAAAAGATAGGAATTAGTCCAAGGATGAAAATAGCAATAAGTTGCTAACCATGGGAATGAAAAGAGTAATTTGTAAACCACAGGGACGAAAAACGTAATTTACTCTAAAACAATGTTCGACTCGGCTCGTTAAAAAAAGCATTAAATTTTTCAAGTCGAACGAAGCCATTCAAGCTTTAACACTTTTTCAATTCAAACGTATTCACATGTTCATAAATCAAAAATATAGATGTTATTGAGCACGAGCTAATAATCGAGCCAAGCGACCTCAAAACAACCTTATGAAGTTCAAATTTTTAGTATAACATATAACTCAAAAGCTCGTGCTCGCTGAAAAAATATTCAAGCTTGAATCGCCTGCTACACAACCCAGACTCGACTCACCTCCACCCCGAAGAGTAGAGGTCGTTTCTGTAAAAACACCCTCGGCTTGTAAAAAGGTTTCGGAAGAAATTTTGTAAGAAAAAGAAAATAGAATTTGTTTTTAAGGATTGAAATAAAGAAAAGCGGAACGCCAAAAAAGCAAAAAAAATGTTTGGAAGACGGATGAGTCATTAAATAAAAAGCATGTATGTACGTACCTTGCCGGTGGCAAAAGCTACGGTGTTCCCAGATTGAACATCTGCTATTGCTTTCCTTATTTGCGATACAAGGAACTGAAAGAAAGCCAATTGGCAAGCGAGAGCAACAATCAGTAACATGTAAACGATCCAAACTTCAATTCCGATAGGACATGTTTGATCCCGTTTTCTAAAGAGAGAATTACTCTCGGTACCCCCAGGAAAACCACAACACCTCTTTTTAAAAATGCTTGTATGTTTTAAGACAACATTTGGTCAATAATCTATTTCCTACGATCCAAAATAAGCGTATCTTCCAGTTCTGCCCATAATTATGAGAAGGAATTCATCCAAAATAAGCGTATTTTCTTAATTTGGGACGTAGGAAATAATATTTCTCTTATCCGATCTAACGTTTGCAATTTCCCTGGGGGAGGAAGGGGTAAAAAAGTAAATGTGTGGAGGAAG